TTACTACTATACTCTCCACTATATTCTATCTTTCTATTGTAAGTTTCTTTTTTATCTCTATTTTTTTTAATTAACACTCATTCGATTATTATCTCGCTCTTTGTTTTTTCATTCTTTGTTTTACCTTTTTTTTATTACCTTGCTCTCTTAATTACCTCTCTCAACTCCATCCTCTATCTATGTCTGCCATACTTCCGTTATTTCTCTTTCCCCCTCTATCTCACACTCTCTCTCACTCTCTCTCTCTCTCTCTCTCTCTCTCTCTCTCTCTCCCTCTCTCTCTCCTTTTCGCTTTTTCTATATCTACCTACATATCTAAATATCTACGTGTATCTACTCTATCTCTTTCTCCTCATTCTCGCTCTACCTATTTTTCTCTCCTTCTTTCCTTACTCTCTCTTTACCTCTCTTTACTCCTCTCTCTCTCCTCCCCCATCACTCTCTCTCTCTCTCTCTCTCTCTCTCTCTCTCTCTCGCTAGATAAATAGATAAATGTATACATTTAGAGGGATGAAAAATACAATTTATATTGAACTATTTTAGATAGATATTATTAGATGTTATCTTGTCTTTCTGTCTTTTTCCCACCAACTTAAAAATAAATGACACTTTAACCATAAGATTCATAACCCCTTTTTGGTATTGTATATAGCGTACAAAAATAACAATGATATTATATTTTTAGATTTTCTCCCTGGAGAAAATTGTTCGCGAAACTGTCCGCTGGGGTAAGTTTGGACCATTATTGAAAAAGGCTTTTTGCCGGAGTGTTTTTCGCAACAGTACAAGGAGTATTTCGCCAAGTTTACCGGGCCGTTGGTTCGCCTTTTATAGTTTTAAAGGCACTCTTTCCTTTCACCTGATATTCTTTTTTCTTTCCACGTTTTTTACTAGCGTTATGTTAATTCCAAAGGGATGAGAGCAAGGCTTAAAGCGTGACCTTAATTTTGTAATCTCGTTATAGAACGGTTATAAAGCCTGACAGGAAGCCCCGTAAAAAGACTTGAATTTTTTTTATCACCTTTTTTTTCTAAAAAGGAAAAAGTGTTTACATTTAATAAATTGAAAGCTCTTTAAGCCCTTCTCCGCTTCATTCTAGACAAAGCCGGGAAAAATCGGATGTTATGGGAGGGGGGAGAAAATAATTTGCATGAAAATTATCTTTCATGAGAATCTCCACCGACTTCCTTCCCATCCGCCCCTTTTCTGATCGGTATCTCCATTTTGTTGCCCGTGTAATTAGTTGTATTTCCTTAAACTTCCGAGGGAGAAAAATAAAGTTATCAGTTGAGATGGAGTTATTGAGATTAGAACGGGACGGGGTACTCGGCCAGGAACAATGTTGCCGTTTAATGAGAAAAATGCCCGACTTTCCCATAAAAAAACACGGCGCGTTAATTAAGCCGGATATTTCCGCCATCGTTAAGCCCAAAGCGCCAATTAAACACCAAGAGGCGGTCGACTGGTGGAAACGGGCAGGGGTTTATTTTCCAAAACGGTTAACCTTAAGAAGCCCCTATCGTTGAGCCGATAGCAGTCCATTACGGACTTATTGAAACTTCTACTTCAACTACCACAAAATCATTATCTCCAGTTACCATTTTCTACCTATTCAAGTCGCTTTTTATACTAACTTAAATCTAATCTTCCTTTCAGAATATAATTTTCGTTGTAACTCAAATTCCACTTCACCGGAACATGACTAAACTTAAATGGCATATGAAAGGGCAACAATTTGTGAGAACATCGATTGTAATGAAATGTTTTTGGTGATACTACGCTAAAAATATTAGAGTTGTTTCCAACCAATTTACCTGAAAGTGAGTGGATGTAGTTGACAGGAAGACCTGTGTTCAGAGCATCGACTAACTTCCTGAAATTCTACCTCTTCAGGTTGGGCATCCAGTGTCCTGTTTACCCTCAAGTACATCTTTCGTCACATTTGTGACTTCTAGCTACTGACATCGTTCGAGGCAAAAAAGGACTCTCATATCTCAATAACGTAGCTAAAGCCAAGAGCACACTTACCCGATGATACCCGACGCAAATCCAAAGACCAATTTTATTACCTCCATGCACATCCGCCCGATGCTATGCTACCCTACTCTACGCTCTGCGATCCCCACTCTCCAGATTTTCGTCGGGTCGCATCGAGTACAGTCGAAGACAAAAGGACCGGAAACTCATATTTTTATTCAACCTACATGTATTACTACCGTTATATTAATTACAACATACTTATTTTAATATAAACCAAATTAACCGAGATCAAAAATTCTTTAGTTTCTATTTTAAAAAAATTAATTTTAATGGTTTGGTAGAAAATTGATCAAAACATCGGAATACCATTTTTTTGATGTAATGAATTTAATTAACCATTTATTACACGGTTTTGCTCATAAAATTAACTAACAATTTATTTCAAGGTTTTGCTCATAAAATGACACCATTTCCGTCGAGTAGCTTCAGTACTGGACACTCATATTTTTGTAGTTTATTTCAAACTAAGTATATGTAATTTTGTCGTTATATTAATTATAACATTCCTATTTTAATGTAAACCAAATTAAACCGTTTTTTTGGTACATTTATTTGGTATTTACAACTACAAGTGATGTATTAAGTAAATATGTTCGTATATGTTGAATTATCATTTGAGGCTCTTGTAGGAGAAGTTGCCCAGTGGAAACACTCCTTCACACTGATATCTTGTTCAGTCTTCACACAATGAGAAGGTCGCGGGGCCACTTTCGCTTCAGGCGTCTTGGAGGATTTTCAGGTATGGTTGGAAGTGATAAATTTCGTACGAATAGATTACTGTGTGTGTTCAGTGATTGATGAAATTTTTTATATCGGGTTTTGATGAGTTCGTGTACAAACGGGATGTGTAGGTCTTTATGGATAGTGTAATTTGAAACGTAAAATGGAGCATTTATAATTTGACGGAGAATTTTAGATTGGATTGATTGGAGACGCTGGGAATTGGAATCCTTGGTTGAGCCCCACACTTCACAACCGTACGCCCAGAGAGGTCTAATCATTGTCTTGTAAATTAAAAGTTTATTTTCAAGGTCTAATTTTGATCGTGAGTCGAGTAGTCTTTTTAACAATTTATAACGTCGGTTTGTTTGCTGTCTTTTCAGTCTTGTATGGGGATTCCAAGTCAGTCGTTCATCCATGATCCGAAACTGGTAACTGGAAAAGTCCAAGATAACGATCAAGGTCAGTGGTAGGCAATGGAATTCCATTTATATTCACCGCAGGACAGACATTTTTACGTAAGGTAAAATTGATCTGTGTGCTTTTTGTTAGGTTTACCTTTATTCTCCACTTTGTGAACCATATTATTAATTCATTCAGGTGTTGTTGTAAGTGTTGAGTGTTAATTGAGGGGTCCGAATTGCGTGTAAGAATCGCTGTAACATCAGCGAATGTGTGTGTCGAAATGTTAACGTGTGTAGGAATATCTGCAGTGTATATGGAAAATAGAAAAGGGCCAAGTATGCTTCCCTGAGGAACACCCTCCCCTATGCGTATATAAGGAGAGAATTCAGTTCCCTGACGGACTCGACAAAATCGATCCGTCAGATCAGATCTCAGTATAAGATAGTACGTATGAGGGAGGATGTTCCTCAGTTAAATTAAACGAGATCAAAAATTCATAAATTTTTATAAAAAATATTTAATTATGATGGTTAGGAAGAAAATTTACCAAAACACCGGAATAACTTTATTTAAAACAATTAAATTTAACAAACAATTTATTACATGGTTTTGCTCAAAATAGTGCATTAAGAACAAAAGAGGCGTTGCAATTGTAATAGTGATTTGGGGTACACGCTGTGTGACTGTACGTGACGTGATCACTTGAGGCTTGAGTTCGCATAGATGTGCACACCCTACCAAACGTGACAAGGCGTCGGGCAGCATTGGTTGGCGTCCCATCGGCTAAGTGTGTTCCCGGCTTAAGGGCGCCATTACTTCCTGGCGTAGCCACCAAGAACTCGCAAAAAACGCAAAAAGTAAGTTCAACACCTGCATCGACAGTAAAACACTATCAGGAAATGGCTCAACCAAACCATACCTGCAGTAAAACCAGAAAAATATTTTGGACTATTTCAAGTTTTCAATTAATTTCCATCCAATAGGCATCTGAAAATATTGCGAGTGGCAGAAGATAGATTCTTCTAATTGGTACGAAAACGATGATTTATACAGTCTGAAAAATTTCTTATATCATAGGAAAGACATTTTTTGCGTACATCAAGACTTTGATCACTGTACTGGCCACTCTGACACCCCGTTCAAGAGTCGTAGATCGTCAGATAACAGGAGACAACCCTGATGAACACCCGATCCCCACCAAAAATGCTTTAATACCCGAGTAGCCTGTAAATGCCGAGGATGGTTCTCTTCAAGCTAATGTTGAATTTTAAAGTCTTCCGGCCAAAATTGAAAAGTTTTAAAAACGAAAGCCCCTACCTTACCACATTTGTTGAGAAATTATAACTTAACACACCTCTTAAAAATTTGATGAGAGCTTATCAGGCAATGAAGCGCCATGTTAAGAAGAGAGTAAACATTTCAAAAATGTATATACTATGAATAACTAGGTAAATAATTTCATTTTATATGTATTTATTTAATGATTATACCTTAATTATTTATTTTTTCGTTTCATTTTTATCCTTTCCATTACATTAGCCTCTACGGTTATCTAGGATTTTGTTTCTTTCTACTTTCCTTGTATTAATGTAAGCTCTACAGATAGTTTTATATTTGTAAATATTTTACTTAATTTTGGTTATTTTCTTTGTTATTAAAAAAAATAATTTCCAAGATATTTAATTTAAGCAAACTCGTAAAGAGATAAAAACATTGACACATGATTTCCTTATACCTACTTCTTATTTTCCATATGTTACTTTTTTGAAGTTTGTTATGGATCTTTTTGTTGTTATTCACAATTTGTTATACAATTTGTTATGAAAGAGGCGTTAATGAAGGTGAGTGGAGAGGAAGAGCCGTCCGCCAAGGGGGTGAACCCACCGAATATGTTCAACCTGCGACTCGAACAGCAGGCCCGGCGCGTCATGGAGAAAATCCACTTGCGGAAAAAGTTCTTCGGTACGGTGATGCCGAACGTGTACGGCTGGAAGCCGCTCATGAGGAGATACCATTCCAGCTTCGAACTACGGTCCGACGTTTCGGCCTGGAACGGGGAGGAATACACCGAGGACGATTACATCGAATTCATAGACGCCATCGAATCGACGACAGGCCATCAGGCGGATTTCTCGCATTTGGAGGGCATCGTACAGTCCTGGGAAAGGCGGGGGCAAGAACAGGAAAACAACGAGGATGTCAAACTCGACGAGATGCCGTTCAACGCTGAAAGCCTCATCTTCGAAACGGCTCCAGAGGGCAGGGTTTACAAATGTAAAATAAGAAGGGAAAAAAGAGGGACGTTTCCCGTCTTTTGCCTCTACTTCCAGCACGCGCCAAAGAAAAGGACCTTCCTCCTTGCCGGTAAGAAATGTATGTTCAGCAGATCGGGTAGCTACACGATATCAACAGATCCTGACAACTTTTCTCGAAAGGCTCCCACTTACATAGGAAAGTTGAATTCCAACCTGATAGGCACAAACTACACCCTTTACGACGTCGGTAGGTACTCGAATCGGGACTTTTCCATAGAGCTGGGCGGGATTATATACAAGAAGAACCTGTTCGGTCTGAAAGGACCGAGGAAATTCACAGTGATCCTCCCTTCCGTGGATAGTGACGGATCGAGGACAGAGATTTCAGCGGGAAAGAAGTCGAGAAGCTCCATCCTCCACGAATCCTTCAGGAACAACCAGACGAACGGCATTATTACTTTTCAGAACAAGACGCCCACCTGGGACGCCACCAAGAGGGTCCATGTGATCAACTTCGAAGGTCGCGTAAAGAGGGCGTCGGTGAAGAACTTCAAGCTTGTCCGGGGCGTCGAACCGGAATCCCTCGTCATGCAGTTCGGCAAGATCTCGCGAGATTCCTTCTCCATGGATTACAGCTACCCGCTTTGCGCTCTCCAGGCGTTCGGAATAGCCCTGAGTAGTTTCGACTACAAACTCGCCTGCGAATAGGTCATCGGACAGAGAAGTACGATTTATTTTATCAGCGTAAACTAGTTCGTGTATCGACTTGAAGGAACTGAATCCCGGGATCCATACCACATGGAAGCAATATTTTTAATAAATATTTTTACGATTTTATTTTTAACCTTTTTTCAACTAAAATATTATCATTTGTATCCAAAATTTACAATAATGGTTTGCTAACAGAATCAAACACCTTCCAAAACCTTTTTTCTCAAATTTTAAATATTTTCTAATTTTTATAATCAATTAAACTTAATCGACAGAATCCACTTTCGGGCCGAGCAAAATGGCGACTGATGGTTTTTTTTGTTAATCTATCCCCTCTTTAGAAATTTTCCAGCTGACCCATCCATGACCAATCAGATTTCTCGGGTTTCTTCCTAATTCGAAAATTTGAAAATTTTAATTGGGATGGGCCATCATCACAGTACCTGCCTGTTTGAAGAATGGTTTGCCGTTAACCAATTAAGATAACGACAAAAAATTGCGAGCCTGTGGATTTTTTTTCATTTTTGCAACGAAATTATAAATGTGTGGTGTTTAGTGACCGTTAGTCAATATTTATTCGGAGATCGTGAGATGCGGTCTGGTGTGACGTAGGTTTTAGAAAAACATTTTCTTTTTGGTGCGAACTTTCGAACTTTATTGAGATCATCTTCAGGGTCTGGGATTTATAAACATTGTTTGAATTTTACAAATGCATGTAGGATATGGAAACGAATTATGAATTTATACAGTGCTAGAAAACTTTAGATTAAAAAAATTGAATTTAAAAAATGCTAGAAAATTTTACATGTAAAAAAAGAATGAATTTATACAATGCTATAAAATTTCAGATTAAAAAATTGAATTTATACAATGTTAGAAAATTTTTGATTTAAAAAAAGAATGAATTTATATAGAAAATTTTAGATTAAATTTTTTTCTAGCATTGTATAAATTCATTCTTTTCTTTTAATCTAAAATTTTCGAGCATTTTATAAATTCAATTTTTTTAGATCTAAAATTGTCTAGCTTACACAATACACAAATCAAAATGTAAATTCTCTATTTCTATGTTTTCATTTTATTTACTAATTATAAATTTACGTTTTTTATAGATCATACCAAAATAAATTGTATACAAAAAATTTTTAGTTAATGTCTATCTATTTGTTTATGGACGACTGACGATGTTACCTAGCCTCTTTCCTGTCGTACGTTTCGAGTGCTGGCACACTCCCCCTCATCAAGATTGCTCCGTCCACAAGCGATTCCATAGATTTTTCCATTGCCAGACGCTTTCTGAGATAATCTGCTATAAACATAACTAAACAAGCTTGGATCTTAGGAAATAGTAAACGAATGTCAAACTTGGCTTAGTTCATTGAAAGTGTCTGGTTAAGGTTAAATGGAGGTTAATTAAAGGGCTCGGTCTTAAGTATCAAATGAGCCATTTCCAGCAAATAGAATACTTGAAATATGATCAAAATGATTAATACAAGCGCGGTGAACATTTGACGAAATTTTTCAATTAATTAATCTTTTTGTAAGGTATTGGTTGAGTCAGTGTCACGAGCGAGATTCGAACCCACGACCTTCGGCTAAATACGCCACTGCTCTACCACTTGAGCTATCGTGACCAACCTCCCATCTCAACCCCACTTTTTTTTTTAATTTTCCCTCCTTTTTGCCATTTTGGGTTGAGATGGGGTGTTGGTATGGATCGAAGTCACGACAGCTCAAGTGGTAGAGCTGCGGCACATTTAGCCGAGGGTCGTGGGTTCGAATCCTGCTCGGAACACTGACTTTTTTTATCTTAACCAATACCTTACACAAAGATTAATTAATTGAAAGATGTTATTTGGTCAATCGGACCACGAAATCTAATGAGTTTGACGAAATATTTTTCATGGTTAACGCACACTTAACTATGGTTTACCTTCTAGTTGATTGGTTACATGTGCACGCATGATTCTATTTAATTTAATCTTGCAATAAAAATTATGAGCGTATTTACGTGCAAAGACACCTTATATATTTTTCTCAAAACAAGTCATAACAAAAAAAGCTCAGGTTGATAAAATTCCCTTTGTATTACAAGGAGAGGGCAAATTTAACTCCTCCCTCAATATTGCAAAGGTGGGAAGCTCTTAGGATAAATAGATACCGCCGTACACCCCTCATATCTCTGTTAAGGTATGAAATGAGGGTTCTGGAGGGAGGTTTTGTTATCCTGCCAAAGGTAAACATAATCCCCTTACGGTCGGAAACCTTTGTAAAGCTTCTACCAAGAGCGTTGCCCGCCAGCCGTCCTTTGTGGGAAAGCCAATAATCACGCACAATTCGAATGTGTGGGGGCGACGTTAAATATTGAATTTGCTAATTTAATTATATTCAAAACGAATTAATTAAATTATAAACGAAAATACTTTTCTTTCTAGATAATATTTCGACTTATAAAAATAAAGAAAAAAATGAGATTATCTTTAATTCGAAACAAAGCTAATATCGTTGCTATTATTTCGTTCAAATCTCTGCAGAAAAGGACTTAATTTTTACTATGTTCTCAAAACATTTGAACGACTTTTCCCAACCATTCTAGTTCGTACCTAACACCCAATTTAGTTTCACAGTGAATATCTCCTGCCTGGAGCAGCTCCATAGAAGAAGAAGAAGACGAAGAAAAAAAATAACTTTATTCTGGGACTGGTGTCCCCTTAGAATAATTTACATGAGACAAAATNGATAGGAGAAATGCTAGAGCCTTGGGGCACCCCAGATTTTAGAGTAATAGAAACCCTGACAACAAAAAAATGTCACGTTGTTTGAACAGAGAATAAGTGTACACGAGTTGTGCTATACAACGCTAGAGAGAGGAGAAAATAGATAGGCAGATAAAAGGTAGAGAGATAGTAAGACATTGATATATATGATTAAATATGTGACAGATAAGATAGATAGCTTCACACATGTAAGGGAGGATGGGGTAGAGAGGGAGAGAGAGAGGGAAAGAAAGAGATATAGAGATAGTTGATAGTTAGATATTAGATGGTTACAGAGATAGAAATAGACAGCCAGATAGATAGATAAATAGTGAAATAGATGATAAGTAGATAGAGAGCTAAAGAAAGATATAAAGATAGAAAATAACGAGAGACAGATAGATACAAATTGCAAGATAGCAGAAAAATAATAACGGGAAGAGACAAGTACCTGACAGTATAACCAGATATGTAGCAAGGTAGTTAGATAGTTGGATAGATAGATAGATAGTATTAGTACATATAATCAGACAAATAACACATAAAAATGTGTATGCTGACACCCAAAGAAAAATAGAGAGGAAGAAAAAGAGCACGTGCGCATGAGAGGATGTGATATAAATATATATTTNTATATATATATATATATAGAGAGAGAGAGAGAGAGAGAGAGAGAGCTGTAGAGAGCGAGAGAAAGAGAGAGAGAGAGAGCTGTAGAGAGCGAGAGAAAGAGAGAGAGAGAGTGAGAGAGTGTGTGTGTGTGTCTGAGGGTTATATGAATCTATATGAATCTCGGCGTGCCAGAAAAAGACAGTTTGTAAGTATGTATTTAAATGCCAGCGACAGTTAAAATACTGCATTCCTATAATATAGCACATAACAAAATATCTATATTAAATAAAAGAACAATCACCAAAACTTTTTCACAAAAAAAATTTAATTATTATATTTGTTAAATGCTAATTTTTGATATTAGGATCAGACGGCCAAGATTGATTATTATTATTCCCTTTCTCTCGAACAAGGTGTCGGTGGACGGTACAATAAGCCTGGATCCCACAGAGCGCAAGGAAAAAATGTATTGAAAGGCATTAATTTATTTGAACATTATTTAATTTCTGATCATACAACACAGGAAACTTTCTTTTCTGACCTCCTCAATTAGTTAATTTGCATCCATTTTACCAAATAAAATTATACTAAGATTATGAAAACATAACCGAGAATAAATATAGATAAACGAAATATTTAAAAAAATATTTAAAAAAAATAAACTACACTGCATCCCACACGGTACGTGTCCGTCAAATATTAAACCAAACTAGACGGGTACGATGCGGGGTCGGCGCGGTGCGTTGGAGCGAAGATGTGGGGACTAGCCGGCTCACTTCCATTGTCCTAATCGCTCTCCGTGTGACGGCAGACAGTCGGCCATCACGCGGTGAGAGCCCGATGCTGTCAGTTGAGGTCTGGCCTTTAGGCGTAACACGACGCTTATCACTGTAAGGTAAAGGTTCCGGGTTCGAATGCAGGGCCACTGGACACCCCGTACAAGAAAGAGGGAGTAATAATAATCAACCTTGGTCGTCTGATCCAATCATCAAAAATTAGCATTTAAAAAATATAATAATTAGATTTTTTTGTGGAAAAGTTTTCGTAATTGTTATTTTATTTAATATAGATATTTTGTTATGTGCAATGTTATAGGAATGCAGACTAACTGTCGCTGGTATTTAAAGATCTTGAATTTTTTTATATCAGAGTTATACATTTTTATGCTAGATACACATATTAAGAGAGAGAGGAATTTCGTTTTAATGATTACTTATAGGTTGAGAAATCCTACCCACCTGCGAGTCAATTAGAGTTATGAGCCATTCCCTACTGGGACCCGGAAAAGGCCTGATAGGGGGAAAAACAAGCTCTGAAAGGATTTTCTGTACTCCCTCCGCCGTTTAGAGTCATCCGTCTCATGCCGTTTTGTTCCTTCTTAAGCCTAGTTGGCCGAAAATAAATGACGGTCTTCCCTCGGGATCAGCGATCCTCTCGGCGGCGTCACCGTCTGTCTCAGCGGCTCTTTCATGGACTCCTAATCTTATCTCGCCCAACGTTTGACAAGGATCTCCGAGGGAAGTGGATTTGAAAAAGAGAATCAACTCTGAAAGGATCAGATTGCGTCACGGGCTTGAATCCGAAACGTCTAATTGCGCATTATAAAGAAAAGCAGATGTCTAAGTTAAA